AATTATTTCATGATGGAACATATAGACTGATGAATTTAACTGAAAGTTTTGTGGGAAGAGAGGTGGGTGAGGGAGTTTAATGAATTTAATGCTCTCAAAACATTTGAAGTAAAAAGTCCTGGAAATGGAAGTCTTCAAATTCATGCAGAAAAAATTCAGTGTGGAAATCAACAGCAACAGTCTGCTCAAATTACTACTATATACAACATGCTTGAGTTCTAACGTGCAGAGGCTCACTCTAAAACAGCTTAGTTTCTGTGCCCATTTAGTTCTTAGCCTCTATACTAAAGGCTGATACAGATTAACTAGTAATTGGACTAAGATTAGAAAAAACTTTCTTTACTACGGGTGTCATAGTCATTCTGCCCTGCCTGGCAACAGACTCCTTCCAGGTCAGACGGTGGGACTTGCTCACTCACTGCATGTCAGATCAAAACATTGCAGTGGAACAAGTGGTTGCAGCAGTGGGTTAACACAGCCATTGCTTGTCCCCCCCACCGACATGAATACCCATCAGGGTTCCATGCCCTAGATTTTGGCAGCAGGCCCTGCCCCTGAATGCCCTGCCCTTCAGGCCACCTGAAACAATTCTGTAGGCCAAAGGCAGCCCACATGCCAGAAATCTGACACCCATGCCATACAATAGGAAAGAGCCAATCAGTAACAGCCTGTAGTCACTAATAACCAGCATGTGAAAAGCTTTATATCAACTTTGCATTATATTAGGTGGCCATACCCTTGCAATAAAGAAGCATGTTCAGCAGCTAATTTCAAACTCATATAACAGCTACAATTAAAAGTAGGCATATACATACATCTATCTGCAAGCAAAGATAATGAGAATTTAGAAGAGATGGGTTACATCAGGGCTGTGCAGTTTCTGAAAGGCCAGGGGCTGCATGCCATACCAGTTACAGGCCCTGGGCTAGACACTGAGTGGGTTCCCCAGGACTTCAGCCATATGGAAAGCACAACCCTCCAGCAGCTCATGTGGGCAGTGCAAGGCCTGCCTCCCCCATGTGACTGCTGCACAGGCAGTGTGAACACCCCCCTCCTTGCCACTGCGTGGACAGCAGTCTCGCCAGGCCCTCACCCCCTGTGCTGCTCTGCCCCAGAGATCCCCAGCCACCACAACAACAGGAGCTATAGGGAGAGTGACAGCTGGGCAAGAGCCTGCAGACTGAATGTTAATCTCTTGCAGGCTCCGTGTGGCCCACACACCACCAGTTGGAAAGCCCTGGGCTATGTAATCCATTTAAGGAGTTAGGAGTCTCTAACACCAGACTGTTGGGTGCTAGTTGATTAAACTGTTTCACAGACATGGCCTGTCCCATAATACTTTAACTGAAAAAAACCACAGGACTGATTTATATATCACACTGGATTCTTCCGGGAAGTCTACTCAAGTATAACAGGGTGTTAATTCATAGAAGAGATGCACTTGATTCCTAAAAGCAAGGATTTGATTACAGCTGTGCATTTCTTTGATTCTTAAGTTCACAATACACATTATCATCTATCACTATTATCATAGCATGTATTACTGCTTTGGCTATTCATTCTGGCTTCAAATACACAATTAAATGATCTGAGAGAATTCTCTCAGATTTGTTTTTTTCAGTAGAAAAAAACTTACCCAGAGATGCCTGAATAGATATTTGAATGCTAAGCCCTGGAAGAGCAAAATACTTACAGTGATAATGCTGTACTGCCAGAAGGCACCTGTACACACAATCTCAGTGCACTCTGCAGGCTCCTTCAGTCTGCCTGGAGACAGATGGCAACAGTGCACAGGGCAGCCCTGACAGACTGACCCAGAATATTTAGGGTCAGCCTGTGTCTCCCTGCAGCACATGGGGATTATGAAGGGGACATGTTCTGCTCCCTGCTTGACTGGAGCAGTAGAACCCAGCATGTGACAGTCTCCCAAGGGGACAGAGAAAGTACCCTGGGATGCTGGAGGATTCCGCTATGGCTTCTCTCAAAAGATCATGTTTCTCCCAGTAAACTCTTCCAGGAGTGATTAAACCCTGGTTGTTCCTGGGTTATTTTTCTCCCAGAGCAGCCAATTGTGCTCTGGGAGAAAAAATTCTGACCATCCAGATTTTAGTAGGAGAGCAGTGACTCTCCCAGGAAAAACTGAACATCCATGTGTGGCCTTTACATCATGTGTGTACATGCCTTAAAATTAAAAAAAAGTAAGAATGTGACTTATGATCCAAGCAAGCAGTTTCTTGCGACTTGAACCTTACATGATATCAGCTTGTCAGAAGGTAAATATAAAACAAGTTCATAAAAGAGCCATTTAGAGCAAGGGTGCTCAAACCTCCAGCCTGTGGCCTGCACAGCCATCACATCTGGCCCATGGGGCTCCCCATGAGTCAGGAAATTTCGCAGCAAGAGAGCAGTGGCCATTAATATGGCCACCCTCCCCCTGCCAAATCCCCAAACCCAAAACGCTCAGTCAGGGCCAGACCAGACTGCTACCCCTTCCCCAGCAGGGCTGGGCTACACCCCCCTGCTCCTGGATTGGGGCTGGCTATGCCCCCTTCCATCCCAATGGGGCCAGGGTGGGCTGGGCTAGGCCATACCCCCTTCCCCCACCCCACCACA